TTCATAACTGTCAAGCTCCATCTAAAATAGAGACATCTGAGAACGGGCAGCCCTCAACCATTTTCAACACCCACTCATAAAGGGCTGACTGCTGAAACACAGGCAGCCTAATGCATCTGTGTGTAATCCGTCCATGCCGAGGACAGAACATGAGCTGATGAGGAGCAAGAAAAAAGAACAAGAAAGAAAAGAAAGATGGACTGAAAAAAGGTTCTTCTTTTAGTTTGAGAAAACCCAAAAGATGATGATGATGATGATGAAAAAACCTTTACAGAGTCCAAATATGTGAACCTGGCCATTGAAGGGACATGGCTATTATTACCCATGGTGCACAGCAACCTGGAGCCAAAACCATGCCTGGCAGCTGCGCTCTTTCACGACACAGTGAATATGAGAGCCATTATTAGATTAAAGAGGATTAGGCTTTGCTCAGGTAAGGCAGGTTCCTGTCTCTTTGGTCCTGAACAACTGGGCACTAATCCAGTAATGACACCACTTTCAGAGGGAAAACTGAAAGGTGCAGCGGTGGAGAAGAAAGGCCGTCAGTTATTTTTCCACTTTTTCATTTGAACAACAAAGGTTCTATACACAGGAACACAGTTTACAAAAGTAAGTGCTTATAACTACCCTGCAAGGAGCATGAGCACAAATGAACAGAGGGTTTGGTATAAAACTAAATATAAAAGGAACAGTGATGTCAAACATCTGAGGTCACACTCAGTGATTTCTTTCCAGCATTTAGAGCCAAAGATGGAAGATTAGGTCACAGTGGAACAGAGGCGCTTAGCAGTTTGCAGCCGGGCTAAACACTGATAGATGTCTAAAGGGTTGCTTCTAAAGTGGGAGTTAGAGCGGCTGCATGGTTAAATCTTCGTTTGAGGGCATGTAGACGTTGCCTCACCAGAGTAATATATGACAGATATGAGATAAAGCAGAGGCAAGACATGGGATTCAGTTTCCAAGTGTCTTGCCTTCTGAAATATGATCTGTGAGGATGAACAAGTTCCAATGGATTAAACAGAGAGAGGGGGAAAATAGCGCCGCCAAATATGTGGACTTGGGATGGAAACTTTTGAGAGTAGCAGCGATCTCAGGACAATGCATTTCCTGAGTGACAAGAGCTGCTTTTCGCATCAGTGGAAGTAATAAATGATGTTTCCCTCCCCGGCTCTGGCAGCAGATGGGCGCCGAGTCCTTGGCTGCCAGAGCCGGTCTCCCTCTCTGCAGGCTCTGGCTAATGCCTACACCTCGGCTATGTCCCGACATGAGTGCCAACCAGGAATGTGGTGGCACTCTACAATCCCTCTGGCAAACTACCCCAGTGTGAAGGGGAGGGAGCCAAGATAAGAGGAAAGTGAGAAGAGAGAATTCCAAAATAAAGGGTATAAAAGAAAATGAGGGCTATGTTATACCCAGTCATTCAGGCTTTTGGCACCATAAGGCTGTAAAAGGGAGAGTAGTAGATTCATGGCTATCACTGTCTCACACTGTGGAGGACATGAGATTGCAATGGAGATAAACCAATCCCTGGAGTATGACAATTTCATTTCCAGGTCAATCTAAAGCCACGTTCCTGCTGCAACATCCAACTGCTAATATATTGAAGGGGGATAATTAAAAAAGGAGGTTTGAAATTAGATTCCTCCACCATGTCATGATCTAATGAGACGGATTAGAATCGAGGAGATGGAATACTTAATGATGGACGGATGGATGCTTTGTAAGAGTCAGAATCTCTCAGTCACTCAATGGGGCTCCAGAGTACAATAAGGATTCCATTAAAACTCACTTTTTCTCTAGTCTTGCTGTCTCTCTCCATCACACTATAACAGTCCATCAACCATTGGCCTTCGAAAGTCTGTTTTTAAAAGCTTGCTGAATCCCTCCGGTACACGCAATCCGCAATATCCTCCTCTGACGGCGGAACAGTTTTTATTGCACTAGTGTACCCTGAGACCAGGCTTTTGTCTAAAACGACAAAACACACCCGACCTCTGACATGTTAGTTCATGAAAGAAAGGCAGGGAGGAAGCGTTTATTTACTTTACTCATTTCATTCAGAAAATGTGATTTAAGACCTGGGTGGCCTCCTGGCCTCTCCATATCTCCCTCTCCCTCCCCTCCTCCCACACACAAACACACATGGATGTTGATGCTGGAGGAGGGAATCAAACAAGCCTGGCATCCAGGTTGTTTCCAGGACCGCTCGGCTCTGTGGGTTAGGTTTCCTAGCAGGGCTTGGCGGGCTCTGCAGAGCGAGCTCAGTGTAGTCACCACAGTTTAATAAGCTGTAACCTTGCTGGACAGGCGTCTACTGTAACTGCAGTCCCTGAAGACTGCCCCGCTGTGAAAAAGGTTTCTAAGATGGCGGACCACATAGGTGTTTTTATGAACCCATCGACTCTGTAAACACCAACACAGAAAGGATAAGCATCCACTCACAATACGTTTTTTTGTCTTAAAACGCATTACTTTGGACACGTTTAGGCCTAACACCCAATACAGGCATTTTTGTTGTCTATGCCAACAGCTGATGGGCAATCAAATTCTGCTTGTACAGTAGGGCAAAAAAGTATTTAGTCAGCCACCAATTGTGCAAGTTCTCCCACTTAAAAATTAGAGAGGCCTGTAATTTTCATCCTAGGTATACCTCAACTATGAGAGACAAAATGAGAAAAAAGAAAAATCCAGAAAGTCACATTGTCTGATTTTTAAAGAATTGATTTGCAAATTATGGTGGAAAATAAGTATTTGGTCACCTACAAACAAACAAGATTTCTGGCTCTCACAGACCTGTAACTTCTTCTTTAAGAGCCTCCTCTGTCCTCCACTTGTTAACTGTATTAATTGCACCTGTTTGAACTCGTTATCAGTATAAAAGACACCTGTCCACAACCTCAAACAGTCACACTCCAAACTCCACTATGGCCAAGACCAACGAGCTGTCAAAGGACACCAGAAACAAAATTGTAGACCTGCACCAGGCTGGGAAGACTGAATCTGCAATAGGTAAGCAGCTTGGTGTGAAGAAATCAACTGTGGGAGCAATTATTAGAAAATGGAAGACATACAAGACCACTGATAATCTCCCTCGATCTGGGGCTCCACGTAAGATCTCACCCCGTGGGGTCAAAATGATCACAAGAATGGTGAGCAAAAATCCCAGAACCACACGGGGGGACCTAGTCAATGACCTGCAGAGAGCTGGGACCAAAGTAACAAAGGCTACCATCAGTAACACACTACGGGATAGGAGCTGGGACCAAAGTAACAAAGGCTACCATCAGTAACACACTACGCCGCCAGGGACTCAAATCCTGCAGTGCCAGACGTGTCCCCCTGCTTAGCGTACATGTCCAGGCCGTCGCTGAAGTGTTGCTGAGAGAGCGATTTAGATGATCCCAGATAGAGGATTGGGAAGAAG